TCAACAGTTAAAAGACAAAGAAGATGGTGCTACATTGGACACAGCCTGAGAAGAAACAAGCAGAGAATCACCAAACAGACATTAGAATGGAAGATCAGGGATGAAGGAGGCGATGACGCCCGAAAGAAACCCTAAAATGGACGTTAATGAGAGAGGCCAAAGATCATGGACTAGATTCCATCGATGATATTTAACTGATTACACAGGATAAAACGGAATGGAGGAATATACAGCGATCCCTATTTGAGATATAATAGGACAAGAGCATAAAGAATGGCAACATAAACAACTAATTGCAGCTCTTTAAAACATAGGACTAGATGGAAAGGATATCAGACTTGTTAAAAACTGAAACTTGGAGCAAGAAGCAACAGTAAGATATGACAACATCTGCTCACCCCAGATAGAGATCAATAGAGAAGTAAGACAAGGATGTGTGCTGTCGCCTAGCCTTTTCAACTTATGTACAGAAACCATTTTTAAAGAAATTGTAGAATTACCAGGACTGCACATCAATGATAGAATAATAAACAATCTGAGATATGCTGACGACACATTGTTGCTAGCAGAGAGTGAGCAGGAGCTGCAAGACCTAGTAGAGCAAGTAAACAGAAGGAGTGCAGAATTTTGATTAGATATAAATTTGAAAAAGACAAAAACCATGATATTTAGCAAAGACAATAATCAGCTAACAATGAATATCGCAGTGAACAGGGTGAAATTGGAACAAGTTAAAAATTTTTTATATCTTGGACAAGTAATAACATGTGACGGCAGAAGTGAAACAGAAGTCAAGAAAAGAATAGGGATGGCCAAAAACATTTTCAACAACATGCAAAAGTTACTGACATCAAGAGAAATAAGCAATACATTAAAAATGAGAATTGTCAAATGTTATGTATTCTCAACCTTACTGTATGGCACAGAGACATGGACAATGAACAAACAACTGGAAAAAAGTATCAATTCTTTGGAGATGTGGATATACAGAAGATTAGGTCACATTTCATGGAAACAAAAGCTATCAAATACAGAGGTACTGAGGAAATTGGGAATGAAAAGAGAGTTGCTAGGTGAAATAAAAAAGAGACAAGTGAAATATTTTGGCCACATTAAAAGACATAACAGTATTGAAAAGATCATCCTAGAGGGAAAGGTTCAAGGTAGGTGAGCAAGAAGCAGACAGCGTTGAAAGTGGGAGGATAACATCAAGAGATGGACGAATAGCAGTATGAGTGAGTGTACATCAAGGGCAAGAGACAGGGCTAGTTGAAGATCCATTGCAGCCAACCTTCATTGTGGAGACGGCACCTGATTAATTGATAAAGAATGAATAAATTCAAATAAAAATAGTAATTCATGGACTAGCCACTGAACAAATCTTAAAGGGACAGCAAAAGGTAAAGGACCATATTCCAGGGATATAGACCAATTGAGTAAATGGTGTCATACCTATTTTTTATAGACCAATCGGCACCCGGTTGTGAGGTGATTATCTTTATGCCGGTCCCTTTTACTTCCCATAAATTGATCTGGTACCCATTGTTTAGGCTGGACAAAGGACTGCCGGTTATGTCTGGTTGGGGTATTAGGGAATTATTTTTTTTTAAATATAAACAAATGGGCTATAGGAAAATATTTATCTTCAAATGATAATTCATTCAATAACACATGTGGCAAATTAATTAAACTGTAGTTACATTTGTATATAAATCTACAGGATAACAATTGTTACTACTGACTGGCCACATCGGCCTCACAAAAACGGGAATTTCCGTTTAAGCTGTGTGTGTGTGTGTGTGTGTGTGTGTGTGTATATATATCTGAAGCTGGCTTTGCTGATAACATCCTTGGGGGTTGAACGGGGTATCTGGGGCCTATTTGGTTAGTTTGCCGTCCAGATTGAGATTTCTTTTCAAAAATCTTAGGATGGTTTGGAAATCCTTTGGGTGGCAGCTGGAAGGGACAAATCGATCGATTGATAGGCCGCATCGACCTGTAAGCCAAGTCTTCTTCTACTACTCTAGACCTGTATTATCTTTCAGCATCAGGTTTTGAAGAGACATCGACAGAGATCCATGGTAGGTGACGTATAGATTCTAGTATATATGGCCTCAGATATTCCATCTATCCGTGGCTTGCGTCTGTAGCTACCAATCCGATTTCTGTTTTGTTTCTTCGACAAGTTCATCGTAAATAACGTCAATCTTGACCTCAGACCTTTGTGCCTCATTCATCGACAGGCAGAACAATGAGCTGGAGATGTCTAGCTGCTACACCGAGGCGGCTCCTGTGCTAGTTTTAAATTATAATCTTATTCTATGTGTCTCCTACTTATGCTTATGCCGCAAAGCGTTGCAGAGGGAATTATGCGTAGGTTCATGTCTCTTGCTGGTCGCCTGGCTTGTGTCTCAGAGAGGAGTTATGTGTAGGTTCATGTCTCTTGCTGGTCGCCTGGCTTGTGTCTCAGAGAGGAGTTATGTGTAGGTTCATGTCTCTTGCTGGTCGCCTGGCTTGTGTCTCAGAGAGGAGTTATGTGTAGGTTCATGTCTCTTGCTGGTCGCCTGGCTTGTGTCTCAGAGAGGAGTTATGTGTAGGTTCATGTAGGTTCATGTCTTTTGTTGGTCGCCTGGCTTGTGTCTCAGAGAGGAGTTATGTGTAGGTTCATGTCTCTTGCTGGTCGCCTGGCTTGTGTCTCAGAGAGGAGTTATGTGTAGGTTCATGTAGGTTCATGTCTTTTGTTGGTCGCCTGGCTTGTGTCTCAGAGAGGAGTTATGTGTAGGTTCATGTCTCTTGCTGGTCGCCTGGCTTGTGTCTCAGAGAGGAGTTATGTGTAGGCTCATGTAGGTTCATGTCTTTTGTTGGTCGCCTGGCTTGTGTCTTAGAGAGGAGTTATGTGTAGGTTCATGTCTCTTGCTGGTCGCCTGGCTTGTGTCTCAGAGAGGAGTTATGTGTAGGCTCATGTAGGTTCATGTCTTTTGTTGGTCGCCTGGCTTGTGTCGCAGAGGGGAGTTATGCGTAGGTTCATGTCTCTTGCTGATCGCCTGGCTTGTGTCGCAGAGGGGAGTTATGTGTAGGTTCATGTAGGTTTTGTTGGTCGCCTGGCTTGTGTCTCAGAGAGGAGTTATGTGTAGGCTCATGTCTTCTGTTATTCGCCTGGCTTGTGTCTCAGAGGGAAGTTATGGGAAGGTTTATGTCTTTTGTTGGTCGCCTGGCTTGTGTCGCAGAGGGAAGTTATGTGTAGGTTCATGTCTTTTGCTGGTCGCCGGGTTTGTGTCGCAGAGGGAAGTTATGTGTAGGTTCATGTCTTTTGCTGGTCGCCGGGTTTGTGTCGCAGAGGGAAGTTATGTGTAGGTTCATGTCTTTTGCTGGACGCCTGGCTTGTGTCGAAGAGGGGAGATGTGTGTAGGTTCATGTCTTTTGTTAGTCGCCTGGCTTGTGTCTCAGAGGGGAGATGTGTGTAGGTTCATGTCGTTTGCTGGTCGCCTGGCTTGTGTCTCAGAGGGGAGGTGCGTGTAGGTTCAAGTCTTTTGCTGGTCGCATGGCTTGTGTTAATGTCAAATTGCTTTTCTGTACTGTCCCTTTTACTGCTTTCACCCATTTATTTCTTGGCCAGCCTCTTGTTTTGTAGCCTACTGTCCTCACGTAATACGCTCTGCCTCCCCCCCCCCCCCTTCCAGTTTTATTAAATTCTGACCAAGTGACCAAACCAATTGATACTTTGATGTTTTATGAAATCATTCACCGGCAGTCTGCTTACTGTCATTCTGAATTTTTCATGTGTGAATCTCTCTCCGCCCCCCCCCCCCCCCATCCTCTCCCGCCGCATTTCTTTTAAATTTCTTTTAAATGAAAGTCCTTGTTGTTTTTATTATTCCTTTCAGGTTCTAAAATCTCAACCATTATGAGCAGTTATTGACACACACACAAGAGCAAGGGGAAGACAAAGAGATACAGCCCTGGATAGCCTAACTATGTGGATGGAGCGAGGCAAGAACATTGGCCTAATGCACGATTCTGGTAATCGTGTAAGATGGCAAAGCATGGCAACCTACGCTTACCGGCATGACACATGACGATGGTTTTGATGATACAAGAGGTGGACATGTTTGAAAAAACTAGGCTGTTTGGGGATACGCTCTTCAAAATGGAATATAAAAAAGTGCCGGGAATAGAATACAAGAAGTGAAAGTTTGATTTCGTTTGTGTGCATGCATCGATTTATCAGCTGAGTAATACTGGCACTTTTATCCTGTGCTGTAAATGGTATGTGATTACTTTCAAGAGAAATAATTTGTAGGTTGAAACGTGAAGTCGGCAGAATAGCGTCGTGGGGAGACTAGCGATACGTTTGATTGTGTTAGATGTCACTCATCGACAGGCAGTACAATCAGCTGAAGATGGCTGACGCTCGAAACACGGGAATATCGATCCCCGAGCAGGATCGAACCGGGCAATCAGAGACCCGACATTCACCGGGCGAGGGGGGAGGTTGTGCAGATGGGAATAGTAGTCCAGCATACCTGTTAGTGCAGGGACAAGTCACAGACGGGGATGGTTCCGCATTGAATGGGGCTGGTGATAAGGAGAACTTGTCGCCGGGTGCTCGGTATATCAAGCGGCAGAACCATGACACGGGACAAAGAGATGGTGTTTTTACTGAGTCCGTGAAAAGAAAAGTTCAAGCACGGACAAAGGAATTAATCAAAGCGGCTGAAATAAATGATGGTTTTTTGAATGAGGATTCCGAAGCTGGTTCACAGTGTAAGGAACCACATGTCTCAGTAGTCAAAGACGCGAACTCGAGCAGTGTTCCAGAAGGGATTGTCAAAAGTTGGAGCCGTCTCACCGGCGTCACCTACAAGGACAGGTCTAAACCTGGTGAAGAGAATAGAAGTAATCCATCCGATGACGCCCAGCGGAGCACAGACGTCATCTGCCAGGACGGCGAGGGTGGGTCCACCAAGGACCCTACTGGGAGTCCAGTTCGACCAAGTAAGCTGGTTGTGCTCCCAAATACCAACTGGAAACGAGTTCGAAATACTTTAAAAGCCGCGAGTGAAATGCAAGGACCGAAGAAACACAAACACACTCTTGATCGCGAAGATTCTTTCTTGAGGAAGTTCTCCACCAGAAATCATCAAGACATCCAGAACTCACCCACCTCGTTCGACGACGAAGATCATAGATTTAGCCACTCCCCCAACAGTTATGAAGGGCGCTTTGTGATCCAGCATGACGGCACGTTCATGTTCTACTGGCTAGGGATCATCACTCTAGCAGTTCTCTACAACATCTGGACTTGTATCGCCAGACAGGCGTTCGTGGAGATCCAGCACGGTTGTCCCGCTTGCTGGTATACTCTTGATGGGGTTTTTGACTTCCTCTACGTCTGTGACATCCTGGTTCAGTTCCGCACTGGATACCTTGACCAAGGCCTTATGGTATATGATGCTAGAAAGTTATTTGTTAGGTATGTCAGATCTAAGAGCATTTACACCGATTTCCTTTGCCTGTTGCCTTTGGACCTCATACAGTTTGCGATCGGAGTTCATCCAATGATTCGGTTTCCCCGGTTCTTCAAAGTCTACAGGACGTTTCGGTTCATCTACATGATGGAGTCACGGACGGCGTACCCCAACCTGTTTCGGGTAGCTAACTTGACCCACCTGGTGTTGCTGGGCGCCCACTGGTTTGCCGCTTTCTACTACATGATCAGCGAAGCGGAGAAGTTCACGGGTTCTTGGTCCTATCCAAACCCCGTTGGTGAGTTCGCTGAAATAACCCGGAAGTATTTACAGTGCTTACATTGGGCAGTATTGACGTTAACAACCATTGGTGACCTTCCTATTCCGGATAATGCAAATCAGTAAGTTCAAAAGTGTCATGTTTCCTGTTATTGTTATCTATTATGTATATCTCGTTAACCGCTGAACTAATTGATCTCATCATTTATCACCATGACGTGGTAAAGAGATTAGCGCCGATGATCATGGCTCGATTTCAGAGGCGATTAGGTCCTGTGACACCAAAAAACTTATTACACGTTTGTTGCGTACACCAAACATTCTACACTTTTTTTCTAGACCTAGTCTCATTCACGCGGTTTTTCTCTGAAAAATAAAAGGTGCCGGTACCCACTACCGAATGTCTCATAAAAGGTGCCGGTACACATTACAAAGTATCTGTAACAGGTGTTTTAAAAATGACCACTAAAAAGGTACTGCTTCTGCATACTATTGTGTTCTGTCAAAAAAAAAAAAAAAAAAGTCCCAGTCTCTTCCCATAAAAAAAAAAAAAAGTAAAGATCCCTTTTCACGCCTTTTATGCGCATGGGGCATATGGGCAGAGCGTCAGATGTTTTTACAGACCAATCGGCACTCAGTGGCTAATGTGGTCAGCATTACGCCAGCCGTCTTTACTCTCTTCTCATTTACTTCTCACAGAAACTTCTTTATGGCAACAACTAAATAATCCTAGAGTCTTCTTGGCCAAGTGGTCAAGCAGTTTGCTTTGCGTCCTGAGGGTCATTGTCCAGGAGTGCTTTTTTGCCCCCGAAGATCTCCTGAGTTTTCGCTGGAACTTCAGAACCGGAGAGATGGTCAATGGAGATGTTTTGTTGGACACTCTAGGTAGGTGCCTTGCCGTTCTTCCGAGAGAAAAACCGAATCACATCAGACAAAACCCGCTACAGTGAAGTCGATCTTCTCGAGGTTCTTGTGACCTGGTTCGTTTTATTCCTTACATCCCTCTAGCTGGCGTGTGTGGCTAAGGCATTGCGAATGCACTTTGTAACCTCGTAGAACCGGGTTCGATTCCAGCTACGGCCGAGTTAGCAGGAAACCGTTTTGCGTTGATCTCGGCATTGGTGTGCAACGATGGTCATTTAGCAAGCAATGGCAAACTACTGAATGTAAATTTGCCTGGAAAAATCACAACAGCCAAAGAATGCCAGGGTTGGTTCTGCAGCGTCCTGTAAAAGGACACGCAATGAATATTATTCTTTTTTTCTTTGCTGTACGCATCACCTCCGTGACTCCAATATAGTTATCGTTGTTGACTTATATTTGTGCTCGCCTGCTGATCGGAAGGTCGTGGGTTCGGGTCCTGGCGGAGCCGGACATTTTCGATACCACTGTTACAACCAAAGCAGACGATCTGCTGGCAAACCGCTGCTGCTGGAATCCAACCCGGCACATTGGCATTACAATTACGTTTTAGAGCGAGCGTTTTAAAGCGAGACAGTATCTAATTATCAGTATATAGACCGAATTTGTGTACCCCATGTACCATTTTTTACTTGTTGAAAAAAAAAAAAAATAGTATTGAGAAATGGTAATTTGACTTACGCCTATTTTGACTTAAATGTTGGTGAATGGTCAATTGAGAATCGGCATCATAACACTTGGAACACTCCCATTAGCGCTCTGTGCCCATTTTCAACAGCGAACGAAGAGTTCTAGTTCCGATGGCATCAGTAACCGTCTGATTGTATATCCGTCTGATCTTTTCCTTGAGTGTTGGCCAGATCCCCTGGTAACTCCTCGCAACGCCATTCTCCTCAGACCGTAATGATCTACTTGTGCCTCCGCACTGTTCACTCGCTCCTAAAGGGCCATCAAAACATCTAGCTTGTCATAAATCAGTTCATAACAAAATAGTGCAGAGCCGACTAGTCTATCTGCCTGATAGTTTCCCAACCCACCAGAATAATCTGGATACAATATCCAAAGGGTGTTAACTACCCATGACCTCTAAAGCCATGCTTGCCACTCTGCACAGAGCATGCCTGTCTCCCCTTTCTCAGCGTTCTCTGTGATTTAGTTAAAATTATGACATGTGTAATGATTCTCAAGCTAGCGGAATGCAACATTGACTGCCTCCACCTCCATTCTCAAACTAGACTTTGTGATATCATATGCCAGGCGTTGTTGTGCTAAGCGGCGTCCGTTAGCTTTTGCTATGAACCCCCATGCACGTTGTCCGCCTCTCAGGCTCACAGTTACTATGTGGGACGCAGTTTTTCGTTATTTTGAAGCTGGCTGTTGCCAATCGGTTGAACGGGATTAGTGGGACCTCTCCATGGGTGTTCCTGATCCACCTGGTGGTACTTTGTTTCATCGGGTGTTTATCGCTTGGTGTGATGCCCTAGTGGGATGAACTAACAATCAATCAATCAATAAGTCTGCCTCCCAACACAGAGCCATCTGTATATACAATCACATCACTTGAGCAGGATTTTGCCATGAATCATTTGATGAACTTCTAATTCTTCAGCACCAGCTGGCCAGTCCCTGCACTCACGACCTCAAGTGATTAGAACCCCCCCCCCCCTCCCCCACAAGACCTGTTAGTTGGAGTAGAACTCTGTCTTAAGTCGAGAAGACCGTGTAGATGGAAGTCCCGAAACAGGGTAGCCTTGTGCATTTAGACAAAATATTTTTCAGGCATCGGCGGCAATATGAAGCTTATCAATGCCTGTATTTACACGATTCGGTACCCGCTCACTTATGTCTTTTTTGGGTGCTTTCCTAATATCCTACAGCAAACAGGGGAAATTCACTGGTCACGGAACAGTCTAATATTTCACGGGATTGTAGACAGGCTGCATGTAGTCGCTGGACCTAGGCTGCCTTCAGTCTTAGGACCTAAGCTGCACCCTGTCGTGGGACCTAGGCTGCACTCTCTCGTGGAACGTAGGTGGGTTGGGGTTAGGGCCAGTTCTAGATGTTTTGGGGCCGTTAAAAGCATTATAAAGCAGGGAAACCCAGTCTTACCATCCTCTATAATGTTGGACTGTTCTGTGACGTCATCTGAGAGCCGCATTTTACGAAAGAACCCTTGTTTCGTACATTAAACGTATTCCATACGATACATCAATTATTTTTTAAGTTTGTTTAGTAATTAAATGAGGCTTTGAACACAAGGAGTGGTTAATATGTGGTAGCTTGTCTTGTCTGTCTGTCTGTCTGTCTGTCTGTCTGTCTGTCTGTCTGTCTGTCTGTCTGTCTGTCTGTCTGTCTGTCTGTCTGTCTGTCTGTCTGTCTGTCTGTCTGTCTGTCTGTCTGTCTGTCTGTCTGTCTGTCTGTCTGTCTGTCTGTCTGTCTGTCTGTCTGTCTGTCTGTCTGTCCGTCCGTCCGTCCGTCCGTCCGTCCGTCCGTCCGTCCGTCCGTCCGTCCGTCCGTCCGTCCGTCCGTCCGTCCGTCCGTCCGTCCGTCCGTCCGCCCGCCCGTCCGTCCGTTCGTCCGTCCGTCCGTCTATCCGTCCGTCCGTCTGTCTGTCTGTCTGTCTGTCTGTCTGTCTGTCTGTCTGTCTGTCTGTCTGTCTGTCTGTCTGTCTGTCTGTCTGTCTGTCTGTCTGTCTGTCTGTCTGTCTGTCTGTCTGTCTGTCTGTCTGTATAGGTATAGCGGTCTACTTATGTAGTTCACTTAATGTTTTCCGCAGGCTAGACTTAGAAAGTAGTGAGATAGAATGTGTTTGGCTTGAGTTAAAACTACAAAATCACCAACCACTACTAGTTGGTTATCTTTATCGCAACCCCAGCGCTGGAAACATTTGGTATGAAAACTTCACTGCCATGATGGATGCAGTGATTACTAAAGGCAGAGAAATCATACTTCTTGGGGACTTCAATATCGATACTCAAAAGTCTAACAATACATGGGAGAATATAGTTACTTTATACAATCTCCAACAACTAGTTAAACAACCTACTAGAGTAACTAAATCATCTTCAACACTTATAGATCACATTTATACAACACGTCCTGAAAATATAGTAGAATGCAAGGTTCCCACTACTGCAACATCCGATCATTTTCCTGTCTGTTGTACGTGGTCGAAAAAGGGAACTAAAATTCCAAAACACAAACATTTAAGCATAAAATTTAGAAGCTATAAAAATTTCAGTCAAGAGGCATTTTTACTAGATTTGCTAAGTTCACCTCTTGACCATGTTTATCAACTTCCTGATCCGGATGATGCTCTGGAATATTGGCTAAAGACTTTCTTTGGGGTTTTTGATAAACATGTGCCAGTTAAGGGGGTCCGTGTGAAACATCAGACTAAATCACCATGGATCACACAGGAAGTAGTCGACATTATGAGAGAACGAGATAGGGCACACAAAAATAAGAACTTTGTCACATATCGGAGTTTGCGTAACAAAGTACAGTATGTTATTCGAAAGGAAAAAAAAAGAACTATTTCAGAAACCTAGTATCAGATAAAAGAAACAGTAGGGATATATGGATGGCAATTAACACACTGACAAACAAAAACACTTCAACACGTGTGGTAACATCTAATATAACATCTGATGATTTCAGCAATTACTTTCAGGATGACATAGAGCAGATAAAGGCTACAATACCGAGCTATCCATGTGATTTATCCATGCTGTCAAAATTTTGTGAGAATAAATGCTCCAGAGATTTTCCCACTGACATGCCTTTGATGTCAGTCAATGACGTTTTTAAATATCTCGCTAATCTCAAAAACAGTAATGCATCAGGTCTTGATGGTGTGAGCAATAGGATCCTTCCTTGTACTGCATCAGTTATCTGCACGTCATTAACCTACATTTACAACCAATGCATCGCCAACCAATGCCATCAGCCTTTAAAATTGCCAAAGTCTATCCTCATATAAAATATAGATCATTAGACAGTAGTATTCCCAGTAGCTATAGACCTATCTCTCTACTATCATCCCTATCAAAACCACTAGAAAAACACATTCACAAAATAATACTCCAACATTTAGATCAAAACGAACTTATTGTTGACAACCAGTCGTCAGGGTTTCGACCAAAATATTCTTGTCATACTGCCTTAACAAATATGATAGAAAACTGGCATCAGAATATTA